TTACTCATGAGTTTTATTCATTTTTTTAACTTAATTATGATATGCATATTACAAGTAGTAAATGTTTTTTATGTATTTATTAGTGCTATTTTGTAAAAGTTGTGAGACGGCGCAAATCGGGGAAAGCAAAGAGATAAGGTCTTGGACATGATAGCAAAAAGGGAAAAATAGTAAAATCGGAATATCGAGAAAAGAAGAGTGGCGCCGAAGCACCACAAAGCAAAACATATCAGAGGCGGCGGCGCCGGAGACGCTGGGAATGTTTTTTTTTTGCCAAGTTTTGAGCCCACAAGAAACCCTATATCCATACAACCACGAGAAGGAGTATAAAAGGGACGTGACTTGGTACTTTCAAGGAGCCTACAGATTGAGAGAAGGAGAATATAACGAGAGATTGAATAAAGCAATTCAAGGGAGGAAAACATCAAGAAATTCACATTTTGAAGCATTGATTGGAAGGGGAAGAATATCTTGGTGCAAGCTTTATTTCTTTTTCTACATCTATATTCAAGATTCGGCAATGTATTCAATAATAACTTCTTGTTTTTCTTTTTCATTTATTATGAGTAGCTAATATATATTAGGGCGAACAATGTAATCTACTTAGGAGTTAGGACCATCTATATCTTTTATTCAAGATTCTTGTAATTTTATCATATATGTTTTGATTTTGCTATGAGTTTAATGCATTAAATTATTTAATCACTAATTTAATGATTTAGTGAATCTTTTACGAAGCAATAGGTGAGTTTGAGATTTGGACCATATAGTGAAATTCATTAGAATGTGTAGAGATACATATACTAAATATTGCAATCATCGTATGAATTCTTGAAACCAATATTTCGTTTAATTAAGGTAAACTCACATAGAGATATGTGATTGAATTAGTTAGATAGGTTCAATGAGAACTCGAGATGAATAAATTGAATATCATAGAAGAATTCAATCGAACACTACATTGGGTTCTTGAGTCTTGAATTAAGACTTAAATGTGATCAATATGTGAGATTGTTTGTTTCTAATTTTTATCTATTATTTGAATTCTCACTCAACCATGTGTGCATTTTACTTAATTTCAATTGTTTAAATAAAAAAATCACAACAATACATAATTCTTTGTTTGTTTTCATAAAATAAGAGTTAGAAAAATTTAATTAAAATCTAAAGTATAATCCTCATGGGAACGATAATCCAGACTCAAATGTCAACTTTATTACTGGTTACGATATTGTATACTTGCGATAGAAAAAATGCAACAATTAACTCTAACATCTCAAATAGAAAAATGCCGCTATCTCATTCTGGTGGTTTTAGTTCTGTTACGCCTCCTATGAAGAGGCTCCAGATTATCACCAATGTGGCAGCCAATTAAGAAAATCAACAAGGCTTGTACTCCACGTCACCTCCTACCCCGTCGAGGTGAGGCCATACAAGGTAGCATAGGTGATGAATCATTTTCAGCTGAGGTGCCATGTCAAGGCCGACCCTCAACACTGCGCCGAACTGTCATGTATGTTATAAGGAAGAAGTGCGAAGCTCCAAGCCTTCACATTTATAAAAAGCACCTTCCAATTCACATCTTCCTAAGAGATCTTTCGTACAAGATCCACATGTGGCTGACTGATATGACAATTCACTGCAGCAGTACATTAAGTTCAAATTGTCAGTCTACATATTGAAGGACAGACCCAAGCATAATGATGGCTACTTTTCAGAATCATTAAATGCCTGTCATCCTAGGATTGATGGAGTGATACATAAGAAAAAACCTCTACCGTCAAGATAAGGCCGCTTGCCACTTTATCCAATGATTATCATTTCTCCTCTACTACTATAAAATCTCACGCATCATGTCATTTGAAGATAATGCAAGTTTATGCTCTCAATATATAACTTTGCTCTTTTTACTCTCTCTATTACTCCTGAGTCTAAACCTCTTTTACTTAAGGTAGCTCACGTCTTTAGTATGTCCCAGACCCAAATATATATTCTTACATAGACTGGTTTAATTGTTGGAGTGCATGCGGTCATCTTCCCCACCATCGGAGATCGACTGTACACTTTAACAATATGTCCAAGTGTGCGGAAGGAGCTGTGTGAGCATAAGAGGAGCTGAGATGTGTTGGCCACGCCACCTGTACAAAAAGTGAGGTCAACAAGTTCACCAAATAAGTTGGCAAACACACAAGAAACACCAATTGCGCTAAGGTCTAAACCATCTATTGAAGACTTGGCCGAGGAAGCTACCTCAAGGCCCAAAGTTGATTCAAGATCCCGAAGCAATCCTAAAGAAAGATCCAATTCTTCAGATAAACTAGGAAATAAGCTGTCTCTTCCTAGCAGCAATCAGTCTCTTTCAACCAATGGAAAGTTGTATAAAGTCCAAATTATTGTAAGTGTCCATGATCATCAACGAATCCAATAAAAACTGATATCTGTTTATGAAATGATGTCTTTCAAACTTGTAGTCTTTGCACATGTTTTCTTTTCTACGATTTATTTGATCAGGTCTAGGACGCGAGGTTCAATTAGAACTTCCATCAAAAGGTCACCTTCTGCTCATAAACCTGTCATATATAAATCCAAATCGAACGGAGATGGTGTAAAGCCTTCAAAATCCAGTCCACAGCCTGATCATTAGCCTTTAGATCATCACACATAAGATCTTATTATCATATTCAGCAACCGCCTTTTTAGTCTGTACATATAGGGCTCATAACTTGAGGAGATGCTATATCATTATGTTAGTTCGTAATCTCGCTTGCACCAAGCTGAGTTAAGAGACTGGCTTGTTCTGGCGGAAATAAGAATGGTGGAGATAGATTGATTATTGTAACTTAAAATTAATGTATTTATTGGTTGAATCGTGTATTCTGCCGATCTTCATTCAATTTCCTCATAATTGGAATGCCTGGTCAATCATTTATTCCATCCATCTCAAGCCGAGAGTGGAGAAATTGCAAGTTAAAAGGCGATTATAGGAAGGTTAAATAGTGAATATTGGAGTTCTAATATTGGGATTGAGACCGAGACACGGCCCAGACTCCTACGAGAGGCAGCAGTGGAGAGTCTTCCACAATGGGCGAAAGGGCAACCATTTGTTTGGAAATCCATTCGATAGGAAGTATAAAATGGAAGTGAATCTACTTTGCATACCCCTACTAGAAAAAGTCGCCACCAAGGATGTCGATTAATTTCAAAGGGAAATATGGGTTCCAATAGTTTTCTTTTCATGGTTTGTATTGTATTATTTTACGAGTTTTTGTCATTTAAGGAGTTATGACGATCTTGTATTGGAGGTTATACTCTTTTGTTATTCATTTATTTTTAGGGGGATGATTTCATCCTCTACGCAAGTGGAATCAAGGATTATAAAGAGGTTTGTCGATTTTTGTTGCGTAGCTGAACTCGTAGGTGTTGATGCTGTATGATATGAAAATTGTCTTTTTTATTATGTACAAGTTCTAAATTGAAAAACTTAAATAAAAGAAAGCAAATGATGTCTTGGCTAGTGTCCAGATTAGTTTACCAAATATGTCAATTCTTAGAAGAAAATTGGAAAGTAGGAGTTGAAAATAATCTCACTTAGAGCTTGTTTGGCAGATTTTTACTTTTATTTTTTGTAAAAAAATCTTGAGAAAGATTCTTTACATTAGCCTCTTTTAAAAGTAGTTGTGAAGGATAACTTGCTTTTAGAGTCTGTTTGATTGTAATTGTGGAAAATTGGTGGAAAGAANCTGTTTGATTGTAATTGTGGAAAATTGGTGGAAAGAAAATGATTTTCAGGGAAAGTAATTGCCTAGAAATTGTTTTGCAGGGAATTGTTAATTAAGCGTGTTTGATTGGTATAATAATTTTCTATCCGGAAAATTTTAAATTTTTCTATTCGTTTGACTTTGTTTCACATGGAAATTATCCATTAAAGTGAATTTTTTTTTTACACTTGGTTATAACATTTGTTTCTATTGCAAAAAAAAAAATAAAATAAAATAAAAATTCAGCAGCCGCCTGGAAAAGGTGTGAAAAAATTTTCACCTAAAACCCGAAAAATAGGCGCGTGGGGAGTGGGAGGGAAAACATTTTCCGTGAGAAATTTCGCCTATCAAACGATCAAAAAAGTGGTAATGAAAAATATTTTTCTAATTCCATGGAAAATTCCACCAATCAAACGGGCCTTAGAAAATTATTTAAATATATTCTTTTTAATTTTAAGAAGAGCTTTTGACTTTTCAAAAATATAATCAAACGAACCATTATTATTCATTGAGGGAAATTTGAATGCTATTTAGCACGAGTAGTGATTGGTTAATTTCATTGTCACATAAATGTGTGCTAAACTACACATTCACCCAATAAAATATTCTACAGACGAATCAATAAAATTACTTTACTTTTCAACCACTCATTCGTCAAAAAATACTATTCATTACTCTATTTTTCTCTCAATAATGGAAGACAAACACACCCTTAACCTATAACATAATATCCAATAGAATCATAGATTGAGATTATAAATCTATTAAATTATTTACATTAAAATTTTGATTTTAGAGTAGAAGGAAAAAAAAAAAAAAGAATTATCATAACGGCGTTTAAGTAAAGGAAGATTGAATTAACGCCGTTCAAGTACATCTCTCCCCGTTATATCCGACTTCCAGTACCACCCCACTCTTTTCCTAATTGAGATTGATGATCTACTACTCTCCCATCAATCACCACCCAACCCCTACAAACCTACCCCTATCCCCAACCTCCAAAATCACCCTTTGCCTTCTCTTCACTGTCATTGCAAGAACCAAAAGCCAAAAGCACACAGTAAACCAATTGCCAAACCCTATACACCACCACCTCCTCCGTCCAACGCCGCCACCAGATATGAAAACCCAGTTCCGTTTTCCCTTTTTTGAACCCATGCACTCCAAGATTCTTGTTTCAGTTACAGTCTGATGTTCTAAATTTTCAGTGTTGAACAAAAAAAGAACAATAAATTTATAGCCATGGCTTGTTCAACATCTTCCACACTAATCCCAACCCTAATCCTCCTTCTTTCTTTACCCATTTTATTCTTCTTTTTCGCCCCAAAAATCCTCCCGCTGCGCCAAATCTCAATTTCTGTACCTGATGAACTCGATGACCTTTCACTATTCCAGAAGGCCATAGCCATGGATTCAGCCAATTTGTCACGTAAACACCGTAATAGACTTCCTTCCACCAGATCCCGACTCGGCTCCACCTTCCAACGCCCCAAAATCGCCTTCCTGTTCCTCACTAATTCAGACCTTCATTTTGCGCCGCTGTGGGAACTCTTTTTTGCGAATGTAAGCGTTAGTAATAACCCACACGAGCATCTTTATAATATTTACATCCACGCTGATCCTTCAGTGAAAATTACCCCTCCAGATGGGGTGTTTAAGGATAAGATTATACCCTCGAAGAGGACTCAGAGATCTTCGCCTACTTTGATTTCGGCTGCACGTCGCCTCCTTGCCACTGCGATGCTTGATGACCCTGCTAACGCGTACTTTGCGATGATATCACAGCACTGTATTCCGCTTCATTCCTTTAACTATTTGTATAATTTTCTATTTGATCTGAGAAAATTGTCGGGAGACTTGGAGTTTCCTAGTTACATTGAGATCTTGTCGGATGAGCCGACTCTATGGGACAGGTATAATGCCAGGGGAGAAAATGTAATGCTCCCAGAAGTGGATTTTGATCAATTCCGAGTGGGTTCTCAATTTTTTACTTTAACGCGAAAACACGCGTTGATGGTGATCAAAGATAGGCGACTATGGAGGAAATTCAAGCTGCCTTGTCTAAATGTTGAATCTTGTTATCCGGAGGAGCATTATTTTCCTACACTTTTGTCAATGCAGGATCCGAAGGGATGCACACATTACACATTGACAAGTGTGAATTGGACTGACAGTGTGAATGGGCATCCACACACTTATCACCCACCTGAATTGTCCCCTGAGCTGATTTACAGGCTCAGGGAATCCAATTCGAGTTATTCCCACACGTTTGCACGGAAATTTTCACCAGATTGCTTGGCCCCCTTGATGGACATTGCTGATACAGTTATTTTCAAGGACTGATTTTTGCCTCGGGTAATTAGTTATGCAGTATACTTTCTTCTTATTCTCTGTTGCGTTAAGTTCAGTTGAGCTTAGTTTACACGGTTTTGGATGAATTGGTTCAGTAAATTATTGTACTGTGAATGAGTGATGGATAATTTGGTGATATGATGCTATATGGTTGGTCTAATATTTTTCTCTTGGGTTGTTCTAAGATAGTTGATCTAAGTTACCTTAGTTCGTTCAGAAATCTGGAGCAGTGAAAAGTCATGATCATTTTCAACGAGTCTTGGTGGATTGTTTTGATGAGAGCGTTGAAAATCTAGTGTTGAGATATTTGCTGCTGAAATTTGCCTGAAGTGATAATTCCCAATTCTTCATGTGAACCACCGGATTTAACATGTTCGGTCGGTGCCTCTTTGGTCATATGAATCAATAGACTTCATTATCTAAACTACCCATTTTACTCTTTTACTACTCTTTTGTTCTTCAAACCATTGTTCTTATTCAGATGTTATGCATAAGAGGGTAATTTTTCTTGTTATGTGACGGTGAAAATGATAATGCCGCTTGGCTAGAGATTTGATGCACTTAGTGCAACATTTGGCATGATTCAATGAAACTTCCTTTCACGCTAATAGTGTGTATGATACTTGGGATGGGGAATATGATGTTGTTTGGAGTTAGAAGTTCAATTCTTGAACTCAAGGTCCAAAACGGTTTTCCTGGAAATGAGTTAACTTGCTGTGTCCCCATATTTTTCAGATACAACGTACGTAAATTTGTTAAGAGTTTGGGACACTCCCACCAAATTATTTAATGTTGGAAGTTTAGTCACTAAATTAATTACTTCATCATATAGGAAGCTGGTTTTTGTATGTTTCATCTAACATGATGACTGCCATTGTTTATGCAGAAGAAGAAAATGACAGGCAAAAGTTGAGCCTTTACAAAGGAAGAATGTTGGAGTACCAAGCGGAATTTGGGTCTTCGAGAGGCTGTTAAAATAAGTGCTCTCATCCTAAGTTAACCCAAAGGAGTCCAACTCAAGCAATGGAAGAAAGCTACTATCAAAATCAAGTAGTCAATAGTAAGTTGAGGTGTAATTCGGTGTTTCTATAAAGGGATTGGGCGTCGTCCCTTTCTATCATTTGTCTTGTACAATATGTGTAGAGTGGATGGATGTTCGTGTAATGTTAAAGAATGATTCTTGGGTTAGCATAAAGCGAGTGAATAAATTCCTCGCCCTATTGCTTTTGTGCAGAGGACATGGATTAATCAGGTCTATTCTTCCTCGAAATAGAAGGCAATTAAATTATACAAAAGGTGTTAATCTACTTTTTGACCCCATTATACTTTCTCCCCCTTTAGTTGAACATTCCCTTTATTTGGACAATGGTTTACTTGGTGCACATATTCCATTCTTGACAGTGTTTCGTGCAATTTGCTTTTTGAAATTTAGGCATCTTAAAAGTATGAACAATGCTTGAGATTAGGGGAAGATAAGGGAGAAGGGAGTTTTTACATTGTTTACTAAGATTTAAAGGGGAATCAAGATTTCGTCGGCACTAAAGGTTTTAACTTTTCGTGCATGTTTATCAAGTTTTATGGAAATTTTACATCTTTTTTTCGATTTATTTGGAGACTTTTTGATCTCGGATGTTCCTCAATTTTAAGAAAAAAAATTTATATTAAAATATTCAGAAAATAGTGATAATTTTTCTTAATGAACTCGTGAATCTAAAATTGGAAAAACCAAAAAAATTCTACATCGTACTGTTTTAATTCTTTAACAAATGTACGATTTCTTTTATTAGTTAGTGCTTTATACTTGAAAAAAAAAATACATATTTATTCATTTTAATGGAATATAATTTTGGTCCGGCTTTGGTTTCAAATGATGATGTATTAAGGGACAAAAATGCGTCAAAGCGAATATGTAGATTTTTTAATTTATTTTTTTGGTTAGAAAAGATAATATTAACAACTAAAGATTACTCGACAAATTTAAGAAATATTTTTTAAGGTAATTTCTTAAATATTATATATTCTCCATTCACCCAATTGTCCATACATACATTTGATATGCAATTCCAACCACAAAATTAAGATAGCTAGTCTCAATCTTTTGACTCGGCCACCTATTCAATTTAAATAAATTGTAATAAATGTTTCTTGCAGGTTTGGTGGAGTGATAAATGATAAATTACCATCTATAGCTAATACCAAATAATAGAAAACCATTACAAACATTTTGAACTAGAAGCGACCTCAATGCATGATAGAACAACGAAGGATATACTAATATTAATATGGCAGTTGTCAAAAATCTAATTCACACGAGACATCGACGAGTTCTTTGAGTAAAGAAAGTTTCGACAATTTCAAGGCAGTCCACCTCAAATATACTCAAATGTGAAAATAAAAATAAAAATGAGTAATGTTATTCAATGACTGCAGTAATCATTCTATATGGTAGCTCGTTATTTGAGACACTAACTCGTTATTTGAGGTCACAAAATTATAAAAAACTAATACCTCAAATAACAAACTATCACATAAGATGACTATTGCATGAAAGAGACATGGAAAACAAATGCTAACATGTTATGGGGTAGAGGGAGACAGGTACCATGTAATTATGTACCTCTCTCTTTTGGTGGTAAAAAGTTCACATATTTAAGGACCCACAAACAAATTTATATGAATTTAGGTACCACTATGATGTCAGTATATATAAATGAGAAAAGATGTGCAAAAATAAACTAAGTTGGTGGACTCACCTCAGCGTTTGGATGAACAATCCACCAAATTCTGACCAATTTGGAGATAATATAATGGAATAATCAAAGAGAAATTCATGTTTTTGTCAACTTCTATCATCTATGACTAATTGAGATCATCATACGTATGTGGGATTTTGATTGGTTAAAAACATTAATAAAATTTCTTAAAAGGACAACATAATTTTTATTTCATAACCAAACTTTTGTGAGTTTTAACTACTTCATTAGATTGATTCCAGAACAAGAAGAAAATCGATACTTAAAAGCTATACACGCGTTAACAATAATAAACTAAGAGCTTGTTTAGGAGGAATTTTTGGGGAAATAATTAATTTTTGAATAGTGATATGATAGGAAATGTTTGATTGAAAAAGAAGAAAAAATTATTGATGTGATGGAAAATATTATTTTATTGAAGAATATGTAGTTGAATTTGAGAATTGATTTACTGTAGTCTGTAGAATTTGAGAATCTCTCCAAAACACCCCCTAAATCTTATTTTCAAAGCGTATACACAAATATCTTTTCAATACCATGTCTAGTTTATTGCTATATTTACTCATTTTTAAAGCCAACGACCAAAGGCTTTGGTCCAGTTGAAAAGGGGAGGAATGCTCTCTGATCGTGATTCTCCCGTAGCTACAACTTGAACCTATGGGACGACAAGAATTCTACAATATCCCACCATAATGAATTTTGAAAACCATACCACATCCAATTTCCTTAATGATAGAACCCTACATCAAATCAATCAAGTTCTCCATTTCACCAATGAAATTATATTTCCCACTAAATGTCAAGTTGTTCAATTTCCTAAATAAATCAATGTGTACAAGAAAGAAAATGGTTCTAAGGTAAGTGTTCAAGAGGGAAAATCACATAATCTGAACTTCGTGGGGGTGCAAAGCTAAAATTTCACTTCTGCTTCCCCACAGTAAGCTAAAAAAACTACCTGCTAGTCGATGTGACTCTCGAGAATATCTGCACTTGTTTCCAATAATAAAATTGGTATTTCTCTTCCAATTTAGGGAGAGGCTATAAACTGTACGAAACCAAGATCCAATCCCAGAACACGCAGGCGGAAGGTGCATGACTTGGTAACAGCAACTATCCGGAGGCAAGGTTACTGAAGCCAAAGTATAGAGTTCTCTGCTGAAATGTGTTGACAGCGTAGTCGACCTGAAAGTGCCCTAATTGTGACTTGAACCGAAGTCCGTATCCGAAACCAATTCCAGATCCAGGTTTACCATGCCTAAGAGCAGGATTTCCTGAAAAGTAAACAAGATTGGCATTTAATCACCTGAAGTTAGGAGAGAACTTCTTAAGATAAAGCATGCGACACAAACCCACAAAATTGTGTACAGAAATGCTGACCAATCAGAGCACATAGCCATTCTTTTACCCTATTGTTACCTTGATATTCTAGACTACACGAATTATTACTTGCTGAGAAGGTGGAACTGAGTGCTCATTTTGGATTCTAAAATATGGATTTTCAGATAACATTGTTAGCAGCAACTTCTTAATCAAAATATACACAGAAACATATAGAAATATTTGCATAAGAGATGAAGGTAACAAACATCATGGAAAACTTTATGATTTTTTTCACTTTTTCCCTTTAATAGAAAGCTATTAGACTATGCTTGTTTTCACTTCTTTCCTCGAGAAGATAGAACATTTTACGACATAGACTATGTTTGTTTTCACAGAGGTGATGTAACTGAACACTGGAATATCCATCACAAAATATGCAGAAATGCCAATAACACAAATGTGTATCCCACTCAAAAAGTTCAAGAACCCAGAACGAAAACACAGTGCACCAGTTTTTAAACTAAATTAGCAATGCAGCCCAATTTTTGCTCATTCCACATTAGGATTTGCATTTCCAAGCTTTCACATCTCATATTGAATCGTGCACACCTAACAAAATTTGTATGTAACAATCTCATATAACTCGAATTGGCAACCTCCTCGTGTTCCCATGCTGATGGACACAGCTTATGGACAACATGGAACAAGCAATCCTATATAAAGATAGTGTTTCATCAAAACATAAGACAAGATGAATCCTTACACAAGCTCTTAAAAGTAACGGGAAAAAAAATATCAACCAAGTCATTCTCAGAATGATGGGCTACAGTCTATTAATTTGACCTCCATAAAACAAATCACTAGGGAAGGTGCTTCCAGATTTACTCTACATAAATAGTTTCAACGAAAGTTACAACAATGACGCTGTGTTTTTTGATTAATAAGAATGACGATTATAATAATAACAATTTAATCTCAAAACTTCCAATCCTATTTCGTTCATCAAGAAGTTCTCACAACTCACATTGAAACTGCAAAAATCAAGATATGGTTCAAAATTTCTTCTTTTAATTGCAAAATTGAACTGCTTTTACGATCAAACACTAGGAAATTGCTGCAAGTCAAAACTGACCAGGCACAAGGCGACCAGAGCTTAAATCAGATCCACAGTCCAAGAAAACAGCACCATCCAGCATCTGATTCTGGAAAAAACGATCAGTAACAAGACTCAGCAATTGCATGAATGAAAGATGAAGAAGACTATGGTCATCAAATTATTATTAGAGTGAAACCGGTGGTCAATATCATCCCTCTCGAGGGAGGAGCAAAAGAGAGGGAAAAATACGGCATAAAAGGGATGCATGCACACGCACATCAAGAGAGAACAACTAGAAGATAAATTTAAACCGCGAATGATTAGAATGAGTTTAGGATAATTAGCACTCCTTCGTGCAGTTACAATTTCTTGCTGAAATATAGTTTTATCTTAAAAGACCATTTCCAACTTTAGATGATTTCACAAGTATCTTTTCTGCTCAAATTGTGCTGCAAGGGAAGTATAATTGATGTATGGCCATGTTGCTTCTCATTTTATTGTTATATTCAGCATGACAGTTCACTATTCAGGTTGTCATAATCCCTCTTAAGAACTTCAATTTGTTTTATATCTACTGTAAGCATTTTTTCTTTCATTAACATGATTAATAAATAGTACAGCATATGGTTTCCTTACTACAAGAGACTCACCTCACAATTTAAAATCAAAGCAAAGAAAAAGTATTGTTTTAGTAAAAAAAAACATAAAAAATAAATGTAATGTACATATGTGTAACTTCAGAGAATTTTAATCAACATGTCTGTCCATGTTCTACTTTCTAGAAAAGCTAAATGTCTGCTTGTTCATTTCACGCTTCATAGTTTTAGTGTTTCCTTATTTACTTAGGAGTTCTTTCTTAGGCTGGAATCTAGCATAATAAATAACTTACAAGGTTTCTGTCCTGAAGTAATTGATGCCCCACTTTCTAGTTATGAATCGGGTATAGAGCCAATGGGGGACGCTTGGTTACAATTTTTTCCACTATAGAGTAGGCCATGTTCTAGACAATATTCTGAAGTCTTTAGGGTTTTCTAGCAGCTATAAACATGCCTCTTTTGCTGTAATCAAATTTCAGAGTGGAATTGAAATATTGTTAGTATGGTGCTCTCTGACATCAGATTGAGTTATGGTTTTATCACTTTCTCTGCATTTCCTTGTTTAAAAAGACTGTCACTTAGAGAACCTACATTAAAGGCTAGATTAATGGTTTCCCCTTTCCTTTTTATATACAACTTTGAAAGCTAGAGCCCTTTAGAAATTGGCCATTGATTATAAATATCATTTGATGGCGGTGGAATTGCCTCCACAACATATCATTATTTTTGCAGACAATTCAGGCACATATATGTTTAATAGCAGTAAAATATTCTAATTTATAAGCAAGGCCAGCAAGAAGGCTTTTTCAATAGCTGTGTTCCATTCATCACAAATATGTTATAGATTGCTTAAAATTAATCAATAGAACCTAGATCATTCAAAAGGCTTCTGACAGTTCGAAGCATTTGTGATGAAGTATGTGGTCAAAAGTTACATTGGAAACATGCCAAAAATACACGCTTTTATTAGGAAAAGGAAATAAGACCTAGAGTAGGATTTATTTCGATTGATCTTTTTTAGTATTTGATTTATTTCCTTCCCATCATTGCTCGGTTGAAATTAGGAAATTTTTCATTCTTGTTATTTTGATAATAACCAATTTTCACTAGATATTGTAAGCAAAAATAGGATTATGATTTTATATCATGAGACATTTAAATTTTTCCCCTCCAAAAACTCTCTTCTTCTCTCTAGTGTTTCTCTCTATTGTTTCGGATCAGTTTGGTCAAATCAATTTGCGAGAAGACTTGCAAATGTCTATAAGCACAGCATTCCAAGTTGACATTCTTAGGGCTCCCATTTTTCAGGAAGCTCTTCTAGAAGAAGTAGAAGCAAAAATCCTCCCAAAAAGGCCCTAATATACAATAAAGACAAGCTAAGATTTATCAAAGTAAACTAGCGGCCAGCTACATAAGATTACGAATCACTACATACCAGAGGTAATGTAAGTTCGCTGTTAGCAACTAGACATGATCTACCAGATCCAACAGCACCTTCACCATACCCTCGCACACTACCAGGCCCACCAATTGAAAAGGCTTGATAAGGAGCAATGTCCCCAACGACAGAGCCACCTGTAAGGCTGCCAGATGATAAGGTGAAAATCTAAATAAAACAATATAAAAATATTGTACAGATAGTAAAGTAGTAGGTAACACATTCATCTGTTAGAGATACCACAAACCATGAAGGCCTTATTTTGTTTGCATAGTGGATTGGAAATCCCATTCAGTGAGGAAAATTTGACATCTTTTCTACTGTAAATAAAATAAATGAGGAAGCATCTTCTCTACTGTAATTAAAATAAATGTGAATGTGCATTAGATATAGAACACCTGGGAACCCCTATATGTTACCAAAGATCACTGAAATTTCTCACTTTTTCTTGTACTGTTAGAGGTTTCAGATCACAGAAACTTTAAGCTTTTCTTACTTCCTCTGCATAAAATTTCTGGTACTTATTGGCAGGGGAAGAACTAGATCTGTATTTTGGGTGGGCTAAAATTAGAGTTGGGGCTGGACAGACTTCTGCAGTGAACTGAATTTTTTTGAGCAAATTTTATGAAGTAAAAAAGGCTAATTCTATGAAAGAAAAGAAAAAAAATTGGCCCAACTTTTAGGGGGGCGGGAGGAGGGGGAGCTATAGCCTATTGCCCAATCTTTTAAAGTAAGGTCTGCCACTACTTATTGGGTACTTCATTCTTAACTTCTTTTGATTCTTCTCTCTTTACATGGTTTGCACCTCCCAGGTGCTTAATATCTTCTCATTTTCAAATTTTCAGTTGATACTCTACAAACGCGAAAAATATTGCTCACCTTGATAAGAAAAATGCTGGCCCAAGTCTTATTCCCTTTGATGCAACAAACTTGAGTCGGTTGAAGATCAGCCACTTAGAAAGAATTGGTATCCCTTGTTCGATTTGCAGACAAAACTATATTCGAGGTCATACGTGGAGTTCACAAAAAGAAATACTTGTTATATTCTGAACTTAGAAAGTTAAACAAATTGCTGAAATTGAATTACTTCAGTTTGGTGAACAGAGATCTATTACTCGAGTGAAACTGTGGTCATTTGCCTTGGCAAATCGAGATTCTTGTTTGAGTACTACCATGCTATCATGACAACCTCCACTGGAAGACAAATGCAAGTGCAAAAAGTCATCAGTGTCAGCCTGTCAATCAAATGGAAACAGGGTAAATAGCAGCTTCAGCTACCTGCAAGTCACGGGAAATCCATGAAGGTCTCTGCTTATTGAACGCCCATCATCATTAATTGGACGAACGTGCTGCATTGATTTGTTCTCAGTTAAATTAATGAAAAGAAGTATCATTGACAAACCCAACTGTTAAAAACTGTGCGTTGATTATGAATGTATGCAACACATACCTCAAACTTTATACTGGTTTTGCTACTCCAGTTGGAACTTGCAGGTTCACTCAGATCGACACCAGCAGAAAAGCGACAAAGATTCACATCTCCACTCCCTGTACGAGAGAAATTGTCCACAGGTATGCCATGGATCCCGATCTCAGGAGAAATAGAGTGCTGGGAATCAAAGTGTATTTTCAATTAAGATTCAATCCTTGGAACCAAATTCCTTTCCACTATAACACTGCTTTTAAATCTCATATAAAATTTAGTTTCAACAGTGCTCGATAGATCTCACAGATCCTAGCAAAAGTCACGTTCAAGGAGATTGGTGATGTGGGCATCTATTGAAAGAATAAATTAAGTGAATACCCTATAGATTACTTGTCACACAATTGTAAAAATATGTTATTTGGCATATCTGAATTGACTGAGAAAACATATCTGGATTTAGATTCATGAATAATTATTAAAATCATTGAACGGTTACTGCAGAGCTACCCTTAATATGAACATTCTGAAAATCAAATCTTCATTTGAAATACTAATCAATTTGGTGAACTTCATAAGTTCCACAAAGCATGATTTTAGCAAATAGCAAAAGACGTTCAGAAACCTCATTAACTACAGCTAATTATAGAGCATACCTGAATGACAAAAGCTTGTTGTGATAGCCATTCTGGTTTCGGCTTCCGGCAAGTAATCAAGACATTGGAATCACAAAGCCCTTTATCCCACAGCACATCAAGCTTCTCATTCTTACCAAATAAATTTGGGTGCTTTATACAAAGACTGCCAAGATGTGAAAAAATTATGCAACCAACCGGCAACCATTACCCCCCAAAACGCACTTCCAACACATTTTAGCCCATCTCAAATTAGCAAAAAATTAACAATATCTCACCTTCCAACAACTAGTGATAATGGACTTCCACTGTTCCTGTTTTAGAAACATATATGAGAAAAATTTGGGATAAGTAATTAAACGCTTGCATTTGTACATAAAGTTAGAGAATGTGAAGAAGAACCTGAAAGGGTTGAACATAAAAGCAGCACATAATTTGTGGGTGAAATCAACATTGAAGTCTATCTTGGCTGCACACAAGCACAATTTCATACCCAATAGACAGTTCAAAACAATATCAGTCCTCACTTTCTATTATTAATCACCACACAACACAAATGAGCTTAGGAAAAAAATGTTGAAAACAAATCATAATTCATAACCAAAAAAATGGAATGGCCCATAAAGGGGAAAACATGCTACGTACCGTTGCCAGCATGAATGCTTTTCTGAGCACCCATCCCATCAATATTTGTTCTTTCTCTCTACAATTCAATATTCAGTTCATATTTTTGCACCATTCAGCTGTAATCAAGATTACTTTTTTCTGGGTCGGGAAGTTAAATTTAAGTGCTTTGCGTAGAGGAGTGATGTTGTTAAAGGGAAAGGGAGAATATACAGAGTGACGCACACAGAATCGTTATGTACGCAAGTTATCTCTTTCTTTCTGGGTGGGAATGGATTCTTGTATTCCTCAGGTTCTTTTCAATTTAACAATTTTCATTTTTCATTACAGGAATTTCTTTTAATGGAGACGTGAACAAGAACAATAAAAAAAAACTAGCAAAATATCAGTGCCATTTGTGGTTTTTTCGACTAAAATATTAAGTCGAACCGCACTTGACCCAATATAGATTGGGACCAAACTTTAAAAGCCCATATTAGAGGCCCGGTGAGCCACAATGCTCCACGTCTTGGCCCAACTTGTAATAGTTTGTTTTACAGAATCGAATCTTTCGCACTGGAAATACGAGTAGCTAGAGTATCTTTCAATTTCGTCGAAAATCTGAGGACCCGAGCATTTTGGTGGAGGATAAATTAGAATTATTTCCCCTAAATTTGCTCAATTGAAAATCCTGGATAAAGAACAATTTCGTTTTCTCTTCGTTTTCTACTTTTATTATTCAAGATACATACACGCATATATAGAAAGAGAAAATTTGGGTTAGAGAGAGAAACAGCTTGTTTGGATTGGCTGCACCGGTTGTATTTTTCGCACTTCGGGAGAGAGAAGAAAAGTTTGGACAAAAAAGATCCGTTCTTTTGGAGAAATGATGTTGCTCTATCTCATAATTTTCTAGAGCACGAGTAGATGTTCAATTACATGATTCAACTGGATCTCTTACTGCATCAGCTATGGGCGAAGCAGCTGAAAATATTCTGCAGTGTCGTGCTGAGATTTTAATGGACCAAACAACATCTGTAAGGGTCACTGACCTTTTTTTTAATCACTGACAATTTTACTTTGGTCATCACTCACACATTTCTACTATCTCCAGGAAACTTCACCAAATCTGAGTGAGATTGTTCGTGCAAAAATAGATAAAGACCATGCATTCTATGTAAAGGCAATACTGTTGCTACCAAATCCCGCTGAATTCAGCACTGCCGTACAAAAACAGTTAAACTCAGCGGACCATAAGTATGAAATCATTTTCATGCTTGACTCAGCTGCAAAAGAACCAGCTATTGAAGACTCAAGCAGCAGAACAAGTCCAGTAATTGAAGTCGGGAATGCAGATTCAACATCACATCTTGCAACCTCATCTCCTTGTGTAAAGAGGTCACTTTTCCATAAATCTGATGACCCAAGTCCTGCCACCAAAAAAGTCGACAAACGCGCCAGCAATGAGGACAAGCAAGCATCCATCAAAAAAATGCAATAGGGCATTTTAGTGTTCTTTTGTTTGAAATTATCTTTTGTCCATTGAAGTGGTTAATTACATGGGATAATTTTGTACCAAAGAACCACAACAGGTGATAGTAGAAGTTTTTTGAAGGCTGTAATAGATATGAATTTGTAGCCTTTTTTTTTGCTCCTGCACATGGACCAACAGGCTGTAATATTTTTAAAATCACATGTGTTCATCCATCACCAGTTTGAGGTTTCACTTAATGGAAATATTACTGCTGCTGTGTTCTTTTCTGTATCCATAGCATCTGGTCACTGTATTTTGGTTTTAATCGATTGTTGCTTACATATATCACTCTTCTTATGTTATTTGATCAACCAGATTATGCAGCCATGAATTTACAATTCATTCTCGTTGGTATTTCTGTTTATTAACTTATCAATGTGTAATTTATCACCGTGCATGATTTTCGATCTCTTATAAAGATTTCTTTCATTCATTCAATTCTAACATTAACAGAATAATAATACAATTTATTATTTAAACTCTTTTGGCTAATGTCTTTTTTAATTTAAACTCAGCTACCAAAAATCTTCTAATTATTTTCTATATTAGTTTGAACCAAAACGACACATATTTTACCTTTAAACATTAACTAACAAAATAACTTAAAATCACTCTACACTATTAAATACCCAATTAAACTGCAACACGTGCGATCTACGTGACAAAATCGGATCTTTCGCACTCGAAATACGAGTAGCTAGAGTCTATCCCTTTCAATTTCGTCGAAAATCTGAGGACCCGAGCATTTTGGTGGAGGATAAATTAGAATTATTTCCCCTAAATTTGCTCAATTGAAAATCCTGGATGAAGAACAATTTCGTTTTCTCTTCGTTTTCTACTTTTATTATTCAAGATACATACACGCGTATATAAAAAGAGAAAATTTGGGTTAGAGAGAGAAACAGCTTGTCTGGATTGGCTGCACCGGTTGTATTCTTCGCACTTCGGGAGAGAGAAGAAAAGTTTGGACAAAAAAGATTCGTTCTTTTGGAGAAATGATGTTGCGAATTTGAACGATCAGGAGCTAGGGCTTTTGTTAAATGACGATTGAAAATGCGAATTGTTGAGAATTCAAGCTCTGCTCATAATCTAAACCTTCGGAAATTTGTGTTTTTTGGTAAAAATGGACGTGGATTCGACTATGAACACAGAAGTTGATCTCGATCCATCAGACCAGTCCACCTCTGTTAACGATTCGGACCAGCCCACTGAATCGCAATCTCCCATTCCTCAGCAACAGCAACAACAGAATAATGATAATGATATTAGTAATTATAGTAATAATGGTGGTATTGATGGTAGTGAACAGGTGGTGGCTGGGCCACGCTGTGCACCGACCTATACGGTGGTGAATGTGATAATTGAGAAGAATGGGGACGGACCGGGCCCCAGGTGTGGCCACACACTTACAGCTGTACCGGCTGTTGGGGAGGAGGGAACTCCTGGATATATTGGCCCGAGATTAATTCTATTCGGTGGTGCTACAGCACTTGAAGGAAATTCCGCGGCCTCGGGAACTCCTCCTTCGGCTGGAAGTGCCGGAATTCGTATGTTTTCTTCATAAATTTAAATACAGCTAATTATAGTTGTAAATATAGGTTCACTTAGTTGATTGGAGCTGCATTTCTGCTTACCTTTTGGTTTATATTCAAGAAACTGAAATACCAAAAATTTGCTCAAATACTTGGCTTTACCGCTGCTTGCAGTTTGTTTTGGAGGGGTGTTAGTATAATAATATGAGGATGAGTTGGAGTTCAAATGAGGTATCGGCTGGTTATATATATGAAGAAACAGTACAGATGGAGATTGCCAGTATATTTGCCACTATAGTCTGTGTATCTTAGCTACATACAAGTTCGATAATTCTGATTTCTCTTTCTGTATGCTTGTTGGAGTTCTATATTTCGGAGGGATATTATGTATTGAGTCGTTCAGAATAGTTTCATTAACTTATTTTCCATTGTTATTGAAGTGAGAGATAGAACATAGATTTCCTATTGAATAATTTCATTTACTTATTTTCCATTGTTATCGAAGTGAGAGATAGCACATAGATTTCCTATTCAAATTTGTGAGAAGCTGCAAAATTATTCACAATAAACTTGAGTTGCGTGCATAAATACTTTTTTAAATTCTGTTCAATCCAACTCTACATCTACTCGAAGGTCCAATACAATCAAATAGTTTGCAATTATATTAGGCTATGTTGACTTTTGTTTCCTTTTCTCTTCTGGCCTCTTCGTCGAGATCACACCTCTCTTATGAATGAGATTTTCGAAGTCTCAAGATCCTCAACTGGTGTGCACATTCTCATTTATTATTTTATTCATTATAATTTACACACATCCATCTAATAGCGATGTTTCTATTTCGTTCTTCTCATGAACGTCTGGTCTTTTAGCTGTCAACACTTCTTCCGTCGAGCTTAACTAGTCTAGTTACTATTTTGTAATGTTTGCTTTATATTTGTTAGGAATCTTCTGATCACCTAATCCTTGTATCGCTTGTCTTTTCAAATTTGTCAACAAATCTTATCCAAAAAAAAAAATTTGTCAACAAATCGAAAATGATAAAGCAAAAATCAGTTTGCTACCCCTTGGAAATTAGAGAGAGACTCTTGTAGAGGAAATATGATCTATTTTTTGTTTTGATGGAGTAACGCATTGTGGAATGCTGATTAATGATGTTGCTTGGTTATTTTATGGGATAATGGTTGAATTGAAATCTGAACTCATTAAATAGCTACACGATACTTACTGTGTATCTATTGCAGGGTTGGCTGGGGCCACTGCTGATGTGCATTCTTATGATGTCTTGACGAATAAATGGTCTCGGTAAGCATAAGTCGATCACTTCTGTTTAGAATCTCTACTCATTGCTTCTCTTAGTTTAAAATTGTTGTAATTTGGTAATGTGCTTTAAATCCCTCTACAGAATTACCCCAATTGGAGAACCACCCTCACCAAGGGCGGCACACGTGGCAACTGCGGTCGGTACTATGGTTGTTATTCAGGTTTGTTGATATATGTATTTAAATTGAAACTTTACTATGTAATAATTCTTCTTTCATTTGATATTTATGTTTCTCAGTATAACTCTCATCACAGGGTGGAATTGGTCCAGCTGGTCTTTCTGCAGAAGATCTTCATGTACTGGACCTCACACAACAACGACCACGTTGGCATAGGTTAGCCTCTTTATAAATATGGTATCGAATATGCATATTTGGTAGAAAAAAATATATACAATTGTATAAACAGATGCATGTAAATCTTATCTTCTATGCACGCTACAGTCACTAGACTAAAATACAACATTATTTTAGGGTTGCGGTACAAGGCCCTGGACCAGGACCACGCTATGGGCATGTCATGGCTTTGGTGGGACAACGATATCTCATGGCAATTGGTGGAAATGATGGTCAGTTTCGTGCCCAATATTTCCTCGTGTGATATTTATGTAATTTTGGGCATAAATAATTGTTGCATGCTCTCTAGGAAAAAGAGCTTTAGCTGATGTATGGGCACTAGACACAGCTGCCAAACCATATGAATGGCGGAAACTGGAACCACAGGGTGAAGGCCCGCCTCCATGTATGTAAGTTTTTTGGCACCTCTTTAATCTAAGCATTATATAAAGACCTTTTCTTTAAATTTAGTTGTTTCCCTTTGGACTTAGCGTTCTTTTGTTTCTTGTGTTACCTTATGTACTTGTACTTCTATTTTAAGATTTGAATTGTTTAAGATCAAGATCTGGATGCTCTATGTCTTTTGTTCAACCTGGTCCCGGTTCAATTTTGACTGCCACCATTTAGAAACTCATGTTAAGCCGTTGATGAAGAAAATGAATCCAATAACGATAACAAACTACTCCTTATAACCAATATAAATTGGGGACACGGATCCTTATGGTGCTCTGCATAGTTAATTGTTAAATTTACTTGTAACCCAAAGCAACTAGATCCTTATAAACCATCACAAGTGATATTAGTTCTGATCTTTTCCTTTCTAACTTAAGCTGGATGAGGTGATTCAACATTATACTTATGAACTATACCATGTAGATATAACACTTGGCTTTATTTAACCTTTTTAATACGTTTTAAAAATTATGCTTTACATAGTGAATTTAAGTAAATATATATTTTTCCATAGTTGAAAACTTTGGGGTGGCTCATAGCTACAAGAAATTGAATGCGACGCTTCTCTAAAAATATATGGTGGGGTTAATCTATTTTGGAAATACTTCACTTAATGAAAATCATGTAGTATACCATGTAGATACAACACTTTGGTTTGTAAGGATTTGACATTTCCTATTAGATGGAGGTCAAATATATTTATTTTAGTTGTTTTTAACATGTCCCTCGTGTGCGGACCTAATCTATTTTTTTGTTTATTTTTTTTATCAAAAGTTTGAACGTGCACAAATTTCATAAATTATGTACTTGAACTCAACCATCTTATCTAAAAGATTGAAATGTTAGAGAGGAACCACACATATTCTTTCAAATTTTGTCTTCAACATTGTGTTTTGCGCTTTAATGTACTCCTCATCTTTGGTACTAAGTTTCCACTTTCCATTTGCATAATATGATGGGGTTATTAGTTGATCCAACCTTACACGAAGCTTTGGTTTGTAAGGATATGGCATTTCCTAGTTGTATGACTAACCGCACGTGCGATTTAATTGTTGTTGTCAGTACTCAATAATGCTACTCAAATTTTCTAGTATTTAGTCTGAAATCATTTTCTGGTATTACCAAGTACTATAAATAGAGACACGTGCTTCCGTATAAAGTGTCTTATTTTGGAAATAATTAATTTGGTGTCCTTTAGACTTCTATGTTTATGTGCTGCGTAATGGAAGACTTAATGCTGTTTGCTCCTTTTCATTTAGAGTAAAGGATACATGTCATTAGCATATCCTCTAACCGTCCATTGGGGAGCCAATTCAATACCTTAGGAAGTATTGTGAAGGAATTGATTGAAATAAGATCGAGTCATACCAAAGAAAAGTTTATCATATGGTCTTGTGATCTCACCAGACTATGGCCAGTGTGATTTATTTCTAACTTTTTTTTCCACATATTTGACCTTGCTCTCGCTGAAGGGGTTGGAAGTGGATCCATGTAGCCGAACCAAATGAATAATGAATAAGACTTTATTGAGTTATGTTTAGCCTCTATATTAGAACTAACAATAGGAGTGAACAAAGTTAGGGAACACATGTTAGTCCTCTAGGTGATGAATAATATTGGCTTGTATAGTTGTTTCATATTAATCAAATATCTATGTAATACTTCAATATCATCCTGGTAATTTCGTGAAACCTTCTTGATCTAAAGGGGAATTGTTTGTCACCATTCATGAATATTTTCCAATGCTTGCTATTTGTAATTAAGATATTGTTTGATCTATTCGAGTTATTGTGTCCAAGCCTTCTTGACTCTTCAACGATTTCACAAAAATGGCATTGACTTCCCACAGTGAAGTACATTTGTGACTGGCTGCATATAGTTTTTGGAATCTCCACGAAGATGTGAATTCTAACTTCAATGAGAAGTGATTTTTGTCCTTACTTTTTTATCCATTGCCCTCATCTTAATTCATTCTCTATTTTTGTCTGCCCATTCTTAAAATTGCCACCCTTTTCATGCCTTGAGATCTTATTTATTAGGCCCAGTTCCCCACCATTTGGCATACTCAATTAATCCCCAGCTAAGAAAAATATTTGACACCTAAAAGTTCAAAATTTTTACTAATTGAACCTTTTAGATCAAGCTATTTTTACAACATTATGGTATTCCATTTTTGGTGACTTGAAATGGAGTTACTTAAACTTGCTCTATTTCATTTATTGCGGATTTTGGTAATACTTTTCACTTAATGAAAATCATGATCACTGCACGGTTTCCTTGATTATCAGGCTACCAGACTACTTTTATATTCACAATTTTGACGGGGGTTTGGAAATGTGTCTGACCTGCTGTACAACTAATACTTTTCTTTCATCTTCTTTGTTTCTGGGAATTATTAAATCCAGTGGGAAAGCAAGGCCCCTTTTTGGTCAATGGTGAAGTTTATATGATCTTTCACATGTGAAAATGCTGCAACTGCAAAATTTATTCTAGGTAGCAACACTATGGTTTTTCCATCTTCGGTCAGATTAGAAAATTCTATTAACTGAGATTGCGTTGTATTTAGAAGTGCCTGAAAATAGCTTGACCCAATATGACACCAAGTTTCCTTCTTATGGAAGATGTGCTCTCAGCCTTTTACATGATCTGAATATGTTTTGCTTGTATCATTCTCTAAATATTTTCTTTTGTGGTACTTGAGCACTATGTCAGTTTTGTAAACTGGAAGATTGTGATGAAGTAGTTGAGATGCATAATTTCAGTCTCTTCTGCTTGGTGTCTGTAGAAGTTTCAAGGGAATAATATGTATATCCCTTTCATGTTTCATTTAATGATAATTTGTGCTGAGTGTGTGTACATATAGAGAACTTTGTTGTGACCTTTTATTTGTGTGACTCCTTACCTAGGTACGCAACTGCAAGTGCACGATCTGATGGTCTTCTTCTACTTTGTGGAGGGAGGGACGCAAATAGCGTGGTTAGTGAGATTTCTGATTTGCATCACGGATGGTTTATGATCTACCTAGATTGTGTGTGCATTATTTAGTTAGATTTGATAGTGGACTTCTTTATTTGCTGTCTTGGAATAATCTTTGTGGTGGCTTATGTTTCATGAGGATATATTGACGTGATTTTTGAAAAGATTTTTAGGGGGTTGGTCATATATTCATTAGGTTGGTACCAGGTTGTAATAGTTCGTGTCTCTACTACAGTAACTGATTTTTATGTGCATGCACTAAGATTAGATGGACTTTTTAAGCTGAAGGTCAACAACATAGGAAATTTCACCAGTTTAAGCTGAAACTTGAAGTTTGATAGATTTTGAATTCCCCCTTATTTTGCAAAATTTTAGAATCCTCTAGTCATGTATGATTTGCGTTCTTTATGATTTCATGCTACAATTGCTATAATGTAGATATGAATTTATTGTGCATTAATAATTCAAGTTAAATTAATCATTAGTTGTCATGCAAATTCAAGGATATAATTTTTTTTTAGAGGAATGACATAATTGCATCAGTTTCTCTTAATGTAATTAGTAAAACCATTAAATTAATGTATGACATAATGCTAGACTTGTGAGCAAAGACCTATGTGCATAAGTTCTCCAAGTAGATTATTATATAACAATTTCACAACAAGATGTATAGTTTATTCCCAATAAACACTTGATCGGCTATTTAAATCCTTTTATATAACACTATTCGGCTCAATGCTTCATCTACCGAAAGGTTCATTGAAATTAATGTAAACATAGGCAGTGTTAGTTATGGTCTATATTATTCTCTTCTAACATGTTCAAGTGAGATTCCATCATTCTTTGTGAATTCTTCAGGTATGTGCAACATATGTTCTAACCATTTAAGTTGTCCTTCATTTAACCATTCTTCTTTGGCGTCACATTTACTTGATGGCATAAATTACCCATTCTTATCTATTTATTTTACTATGATCGTATATCCATATTAAGCCCCCTTTCTTGGGCTCCATTTTAGCCCCTGTTTGACAACCATTATTTTGAAAATTCTTTTTCTTACATACTCATTTTCAATCACATATTCACGCAATAAAATATTTTGTACGTAAACTCAAAATTTTTCCTTACTTTTTAACCACATATTCTCTTAAAAATAACTATTCAAAACATTTTTTTGGCCAAACATTGGCATTAAACAGGGGCTTAATGTGCCCTTGTTTGAGCCCTATTTTTGGGGGAAATGCATTTTTGAATAGTGTTTTGTTGGAGACTGTGTGGTTAAAAAATAAAGAAAACTTTTCGATTTACGTGTAATACTATTTTACAGGAGAATGTGTGGTTGAAAATGAGTTTTTGAAAAAATGGGGGCCAAACATATGATGTGTTTTTTTGGGGAAAATATATATTAGAATAATGATTTTTTTTGATGAATGTGTGGTTAAAAAAATGAAAAGTTTTGGGTTTGTGTAATATTATTTTATTGGAGAATGTGTTGTTAAAAAGAGGAGATAGAGAAATGCATTAAAATTAAAATGGAGCCAGGCTAACATCCTCATTTATGGTATGCCTATCTTTTAGAAGGTATCTTACAATCACGTAGCATCCTTGTAGCGGCACTTCTCCATTTTTTTTTGTCCATTTGTGTTATATGCAGTCTATATTAGTAATGGAGATTAAAAACCTAAAATAGTCAAGGGCAACATGATACAATATTTGTGTCACGAATTTGTTATTCCTACTTTGACAAAAAGATATTCTCTATATTCCATCTTAGTTATACTTCAAGCAATTAGGTTGCAAAGTTCATGTGGAAAACCGGATCACATCAAATAAGGAGGTTGGCGAAAATTAGGCAGAATTGATTAAAGATTATCTCCTTTCAATAATTAGTGTTGTATAGTATATTATTTGATTTCTTACTAGTTTTAGGAGATTAGAAGTTTCATTTTTGACAGCTTCCTTTATATTATAAATTGTAACTTGTGACATTGTACAATCATTGAGAAATAAACAATCAATCTCTACATGTTATTAGAGCGTGGTTATTTTCTAACCTAACCAAATTATGGTCGAAGCTCCATGACCTCTGAATCAGAATCAGAGGTCACGCTTGCCACGAGTACAGGAGGAATTGAGAATTCATCCTTCCAACTCATGATAGAAAAATTGAACGGGAAGAATGTTCGAGAATGGGCATAATCAATGGAAAAGGAAAACTTAGTTACCTGATCGAAGATATCAAGATGTCTGCCTCAACCAACACTGCGCTCCTTAAAAAATGGAAGTCGGAGAATTCGATGGTGACTTTCTGTCTTGTCAATTCCATGAGCCCACGATCGGGAAAACTTATTTGTTCCTTCCTTCCAACTGCAAAGGACTTTTGGGAGGCTGTGCAAGAAACGTATTCAGACGCAGAAAACGCCTCCAAAATTTTCAAAATCAAATCAAAATTGTGGCAAACGAAGTAAGGGGATCGAGAAGTGACCAACTATTACCTGGAGATGATTGCGTTGTGGTAAGAATTGGACTCGAGTTCGGAGACAGTGTGCGATACACAAAAAACTGGAAAACGAGAGTGTTCGAGTTCTTAGCGGGCCTCCACCATGATCTAGATGGTGTCTGTGGTCGGATTCTTGGTTGGCAATCTCTTTCCTTGCCACGGGAAGTCCTTGCAGAGGTTAGACGGGAAGAAACGTGGCGGAAGATTATGTTGAACGACTCTGGCTCATATGGGTCTCCAGTGGAAGTGTCGGGGCCGTCTGTTAATGGGCCAGCCAGTGAAGGAAATGGGCAAAATAATGGAAGCAATGGGCCAACTGTCTTAAATAAAGGAATGAGCTTGAATCATGGTCCAAATAATTCTAATTTCTAATGGTGGGCCTGGGATGACGGGCTTATATTCTGAAGGAGCAGTGATCGCGACAGGCCTAAAACAACAATGGGGTCGACTGTGGTGTGAACATTGCCAAAAACTAGGACACAAGGAAGATACAGTTGGGATATAGATGGAAAATCGAGCGATTGGAACCGAGACAAAATAACAAAAATCGTGGATACCAAGCATCTATTGATCGCCAAACTGGAAAATCCGAGTCAAGTAGTGCATTCAATACTGAGCAGATGGAGCAACTCTACAAAATGTTTTCTAGTCTCTAATCATGGAGTCAAAACTCCGCAAATAACCCTTCTGGCTCGTTAGCCCACAGGTAATTTCTTGAGAGCATTACAATCTATCACGCAATCTAAAACTTCCTGGATTATTGACTCAGGAGCATCTGATCACATAACTCCTACCACCTATTCTCTTCATACTCCACTTGTGCCGACAATCTGAAAGTTAAAACTGCAGATGGTTCACAATCATCGGTCGCAGGAAAAGGGTGTATCAAAATTCCTGATTCTGTAACTTTAGAATCCGTCCTTCATGTTCCAAAATTATTGTACAATTTACTTTCTATAAGCCCGATGATAATTCAAGTTGCTCTGCTAAATTTCTCCCATCTCACTGTGTTTTTCGGGACCTATTATCGGAGAAGATGATTGGCGGTGCTAAGTAACGTGAGGGACTCTACTACTTTGAAGAGATTGATGTGAGTAAACAATGTCAAGTTATAGTTTGTAATTCTGCATATGTTCCTAGAAAATAGTAAAATTCTCTTAGGGCATTTTAGAATGGTCATCTATTTCCCTCAATATTTATGAATAAAAAGTCCGTTGATATTTAATGTGAAATATGTGAGTTTGCAAAATACCCATGTATATCATTCCCAACATCCACGTACAAACCTTCCAAGCCATTCACTATGATCCATAGCAATTTATGGGCCCCTCACGAATTCCCAATTGTACTCATGCAAAGTGCTATGTGACATTCATTGACGACCACACTCGAATATGTTGGGTTTACCTACTAAAAGATAAATCACATGTTCGTTCTGTATTCGTCAATTTTCACTCCATGATCTAAACACAGTTCCAAATACAAATTCAAATTTTACATACAGATAATGGCACAGAATATTTCAATAACACCACGGGGGATTTTCTCCAAACACGTGGAATAATTCATCAAAGCTTTTGCATCGACACTCCCCAACAAAATGGGATTGTCGAACGTAAAATAGATATCTCCTAGAAGTTGCTCGCACATTGATGTTCACTATTAATATGCCCAAAATGTTAAGGGGAGATGCTATCCTAACATCCATCTACCTACTTAATAGAATGCCTAGTCGTATTCTAAACTTCGAATCACCTAACTTCAGAATTTTTTTCCAACCTCTAGCCTCAACTCCACACATTTGAGGAAATAAGAGCGTTGGATAAAAATGAGACTTTAGGAGCTATTGGACCTACCGAAAGGAAAGAAACCAGTTGGGTGTAGATAGGTTTTCCAGTTGAAATACAGAGTCGATGGAACAATAGAACGGTATAAAGCTCGGTTGGTCGCAAATGGATACACACAAACCTATGACATCGACTGCACAGAAACGTTTGCACCAGTAGCAAAATTGAATACCATTCGAGTACTTCTGTCCTTAGCAGCAAATTTGGATTTGTCACTGCAACAACTCGACATTAAAAATGCGTTTTTGAACGGAAAATCAAAAGAGAGTTTTTATGACATTACCACTAGGATTCAACAAGATGAAATGAAGGAAATCGGGGTATGTAGACTTGAGAAATCTCTATATGGGCTCCAACATTCACTAAGGGCATGGTTTGATAGATTTGCAAAGGTGTTGAAAGGTCAAGGGTATCGACCAGGGCAATCAGATTATACTATGTTTTACCAATAATTCGATGATGGGACTAAGACAATCCTAATTGTATTTGTTGATGGTATTATTCTGACTGGAGACGATGTAAAGGAGATTAAAGACTAAAGAAATGCCTAGCCACCGAATTCGAGGTAAAAGTTTTGAGACAAATGCGGTACTTCTTGGGAATGGAAATAGCGAGATCAAAAAAGGGAATCAGTGTTTCACAATGAAAGTATGTTCTCGACCTCTTAACCGAAACAGACATGCTAGGTTGCAAACCAAGTGATACACCTGTGGGAACGGGAAAAAAACTTGAAAATGTCAGAAATCTAGTGGAAATAGATAGATATCGAAGGCTAGTTGGAAAGTTAATCTACTTGTAACACACAAGACCCGACATTGCATTTGCAGTGAGTCGTGTAAGTCAGCATATGCATTCTCCTAAGGAAAGTCACCTAGAAGTAGTTTACAAGATACTAAAATACCTCAAGTATTCCTCAGGAAAATAACTATTTTTCAAAAAGAGTGAGGAAGGAGGTTGAAGTCTTTACAGATGCGGATTGGGCAGGTTCAATAGAAGACAAGAGATCAACCACTGGTTATTGCACCTATGTGTGGGGAAACCTATTAACATGGAGAAGTAAGAAATAAAATGTTGTAGCCAGAAGCAGTGCTGAAGCAGAATTTAGAGCTGGTGCAAAAAGAATATGTGAAGGATTGTGGCTAAGAAAACTTTTGGAAGAATTGTAGGTCAGGGTAAAGCATCCTATCAAAATCTATTGTGATAACAATGCAGTAATCAATCTCTTACTCAATCTAGTTCAACATGATCGCACCAAGCATATAGAAGTAGATAGGTACTTCATAAAAGAAATGGTTGAGGAATGGACTATTTGCACGACCTATATCCCTACACAAGAACAAACTGCAGAAATCTTTATCAAATGACTACCTCGACGAAACTTCAATGATTTCATATGCAAGTTGGACATGATTAACATCTATGATCTAACTTGATGGGGAGTGTGGAAAACCGGATCACATCAAATAAGGAGGAAGGCAAAAATTGGGCAGAATTGATTAAAGATTATCTCCTTTCCATAATTAGTGTTGTATAGTATGCCCCTGTTTGCCCCCCATTAATTTAAATTTTTGGGGGTAGATAATTTTTAGAATAGTGATTGATGGGAGATGTGTGGTTGAAAAGTTTTTGATTTGTGTGTATTATTATTTTATTTGATGAATGGATGGTTGAGATGAAGAGAGAGAAAAAATTAATGTAATGGAATGTGATATAATGGGGGGCAAACAAGGGCTATATTATTTGATTTCTTACTAGTTTTAGGAGATTAGAAGTTTCCCTTTTTACAGCTTCCTTTGTATTATAAATTGTAACTCGTGACATTGTACAATCATTGAGAAATAAACAATCAATTTCTCTACAGTTCACTTCCAAAGTTCTGCTATACATTATATTTCCCTTAGTCTTATTAGTTGAAATTATTATTATTATTATTTTTTGATAGGTAATCACGTAATTTTATAAATGAAAATCAAAAGATAATACATAAGGAGTGCATTATCAGTTTAAATAAGATAGAAGCGATAAAAAATTCGGCAACACTTCTATCGGACTAATGGTTACAGCCTTAAACCAACTATACAAAGTCAAGTAAAACAATTCCCTAAATTGCTCAGTCGTCCATATATGGTCTTCAAAGCATCTGCTGTTTCGTTCTCTCCACACACAACAAACGATGCATCCGGGAATGAGATCCCAAACAAGCTTGCTATTCTTATCTCGAAACTCTCTTCCATGCCCACACCACCTCCTTGGTACACCTTGGCAACACCAAACTCTTATGTTGCGAAGCCAGAATATCATTCCACATCCAACGAACACCGTCTTAGTGAATGAACAAACGATCGATCATCTTGCCATCCCTTTTACACATATAGCACAACTTCGTAATACAATAGCCCTTTCTTCGAAGATTATCCGCCGTTAACACCTGTCTCCTCACCACCGTCCACAGTAAAAAGGTTACTCTTGGAGGTAATTTACTTTGTCAGACACTTTTCCAGGGGAATGAGCTCTCCACAGGTTCCAAAAGGGATCTGAAATAAGCACGAACAGAAAACAAACAATTCCGTGCCTCCCTCCACCTGCTACAGTCATCCTCTCCTACCTGAATGTGCACATCATACAGAGAGGCCAAAGTTGAAATTATTTTTAATAAACTTTCATCNTATACAAAGTCAAATAAAACAATTCCCTAAATTGCTCTGTCGTCCGAGTTTGGTCTTCAAAACATCTTCCGTTTCGCTCTCTTCACACACACCAAACAATGCATCCTGGAATGAGAGCTCAAACAAGCTTGCTATTCTTATCTCGAAACTCTCTTCCATGCCCACACCACCTCCTTGGTACACCTTGGCAACACCAAACTCTTATGTTGCGAAGCCAGAATATCATTCCACATCCAACGAACACCGTCTTAGTGAATGAACAAACGATCGATCATCTTGCCATCCCTTTTACACATATAGCACAACTTCGTAATACAATAGCCCTTTCTTCGAAGATTATCCGCCGTTAACACCTGTCTCCTCACCACCGTCCACAGTAAAAAGGTTACTCTTGGAGGTAATTTACTTTGTCAGACACTTTTCCAGGGGAATGAGCTCTCCACAGGTTCCAAAAGGGATCTGAAATAAGCACGAACAGAAAACAAACAATTCCGTTCAAAACGGATCTGAAATAAACACGAACAGATTACAATCCATTCCGTGCCTCCCTCCACCTGCTACAGTCATCCTCTCCTACCTGAATGTGCACATCATACAGAGAGGCCAAAGTTGAAATTATTTTTAATAAACTTTCATCAAAGACCTCATCCTGGATGTGTTATAAGTTCATCCATGACTAATTTAGATAGATAAGGTCATTGTAGAATCTTGACACGAGCCTTAAGTAATAGGAAATTGGAATACTTTTGTCCCCACTAGATTTCTTACCCTTAACAAATCCTTTGTACACATCTCTTTTAGGTTTTAATGTATCTAATAGAAATTCCAATTTTCTCTAGCTCCCACCATAGCATTGCCTTTAGCGCTCTAGTCCTTATAACATGATTTTTCTAATTTAATTTCAAAATTTCCATGTAGACTTACCTTTTCTCCACGTGACTATTCGAATCTCCCCTTTGGTTCTAGAATAGAATTGATCTGGTTACATAAATCAAACCCATCCATGCCTTCCTAAGATTATGGATTTGTTGCATTTTTAGCCCTATTAGTGGACCATGTGTCAGGTTTTATCGACTGTTCTCTTAGCATAAATCTAACCAGTATAATTTTTTCTCGTACTTGTTTAATTTGTACTACATCTTTAATTCCAATTCAATTATTACTCTTACCCCATTTCTACTCTCTCTCTCTTACACTCATCAACTTTTATATCCCATGTTCTCTCATTCATTTGTCCCCTCTCCTACCCATTTTGCTTCCTGTAACGAGCTAAGTTGAGACTCTGAGGTATGTGTGATACTAGTTCTCTGATGCGTTTAAAGTTGGAATTTTTCCCAGTAAATCAGTAATGACATTTGACTTCGGATTGCTATTATCAACAGACTCGTATTATTAGTTTTTCAACTTGTATCATTGCCATGTTGTCTACTATCCTCATTTGACCTTCTGTTGAAATGATCTTTATGCAGCCATTGGCTAGTGCTTATGGGCTTGCCAAACATAGAGATGGTCGTTGGGAATGGGCTATTGCTCCTGGGGTCTCACCATCTCCCAGATATCAACATGCTGCAGTAAGTTCCTTTATTGATTAGTGCTATTGTTAGCTTAATTGGTCATACATATTTAGGGTTCATTGTCCATTTTTTTCCCTGGGCAAAATCCTAGACCCTTTTTCGTTGGCTTCTCTAGGTTTTTGTTAATGCTCGTCTTCATGTATCTGGCGGGGCCCTTGGTGGTGGACGTATGGTGGAGGACTTGTCAAGTGTGGCTGGTACTTTTCTTTTTCAGTTTTCTGTTATTGTTTCTTTTTCCCTTTCTTGCTCTACAAGAAACTTATTGCTCACAAGAAATTCCGTTTTTCATCGACTTCTCAACAATATTTTGCATGTTGTCTTTTCTGTATAGTTCTGGATACTGCCGCGGGAGTTTGGTGTGATACAAAGTCTGTTGTTACTAGCCCGAGGACTGGCAAATACAGTGCTGATGCTGCCGGTGGAGGTGCAGAAGTTGAATTGACGAGGCGCTGTAGGCATACCGCAGCTGCTGTTGGTGACTTGATTTTCATGTATGGTGGTCTACGCGGTGGTAAGACACGACACCCAAAATTATGTTTTATTTGTAATCAGTTATGATTTTGAGGTGGTGAAGAGGAGTTTCTTATTATTCTGTATGTGGTACATAATCATGTCTTTTGGATCCCTTTGCAAAGCATGAATTCTTTTGTCCCAATGTTAACTACAGAGGAAGAAGTTGGTTTTATTTAGGAAAAACTTGGGATCCTCAGTATATCTGGGTCATTCCATTTTGCGTGCCTTCTGTCAGTCTTACTGGGATGATTCTGCTATAGTTATCGTTCATTGAACTCCATTGTCTAAGATCTCGGACGTGCTGTACATGAGCAATATATGATGTGATTCTTTATATTCCAGCAACCTCTGTTACGGTGTACCATAAAATTAGAAAAGAGCAACTGTATTTTGAAAAAAGAGGTTGGACTTACTTAGAGGGTGTTTGGTGTGTATTAAAATTAGATTTTTGGTAGATTGTGATAGAAATTTTTGAAATGTGTGGTTGAAAAGCTGTGGGACCCATGAAAGATGTGGTTAATATTGATTGTTTGACTTTGACTTAAATTAAAATCTGATTTTAATCCGAAATAAATATGGCCTATGACTGGTTTATATGGATATATGTATCTTCTACTTGTCAATAGGGTATTGTGTAAGATGGATGTATTAATTTAAACTTAAATGCTCTCTCCTTGAAAATTATACTAGCAGACTTACTGTAGAAAATTGGTCAACGACTCACTTTGACTGCTAGAATCATGAGGATGATGGTGGGATTTTTATCAGGAGAAAGACTGTGAATTGATATTGTGGCTACAAAAATGAAAAATCTCTAGTACTTTAGAAACAAGTCTATCATACTAATCCTCTCAAAAAACATGGCCCATGCACAAGCCTTTGTCTTAGAAATCCAAAGGAGGGTGGACAAATGGAATGAATTAGCGTTTAAGGCACAACATAAATGGAACATCTATAGGTGAATAGTCAGATGTCTACAGACTTCGATCCTATGATATTGTATTGGACACCTTTCCAAGTTTGTTAAGAAGTTGAACTTTTTTAAGAATGCATGCACATTTTTTTGGACTGCCCTACTGGTTAGAAGACTGACAATAGGAGATCTGTAGCAATTTTGCCATTTAATTTGCCTTATGTTAGTGGCATGTTAAAATTAGTTTATTACCTGCTATCATCCAGGACCATCTTTCATATAAGTTGGCTTTTTTATGGATTTTGACATTTGCGATCCCATGCCCTAGTTTGGAACCTATTTCTATTGCCACAGAAATTACTGTGATTTGAATGTTGCACTATTTTATTTTTAGGTTTTCTTTGGAACTCTTACTTTTGGGATCTAGATCATATATTGCTTGTCTGGTTTGTTTGACGCTGGGGAGATACATAGATCTGAATAGCGTCTCGCTCATAGAAGATTACACCAGCACATTGATTATGTCTCAAAATTATTTAGAAAGTTGATCGGATTAGATCTGCAAGTTGCCAATTTTTTATACGAACTAGTTCTCACTTCTCACAATGTGTAAAAATTCTAGTATGGAAAAACATGGACTCAAATATTAACGGTTTGCATGATTATGTTTGTAGGAGTGTTGCTTGATGACTTGCTTGTCGCTGAAGATCTGGCTGCTGCTGAAACAACTAGTGCAGCTTCTCATGCAGCTGCAGCATCTGCTACGTATAATGTACAGCTAGGGAAGTTTCCTGGTAAATATGGATTTGCTGATGAGAGAATAAGGCCACCGGTTTCTGATGCTGCCGCTGATGGTGCAGTTGTGGTGGGAAGTCCTGTAGCTCCCTCTGTAAATGGTGATATGTTTACAGATATAAGCACAGAAAATACAATGATCCTAGGTTCCCGGTAGGTTTTCTAGTATATATTGACACTGGTCTGTGTTCTGTTGCTTACAATTCACTCAGTAATTTTTTAGTCGCTTCAAGTTACAGATACTAAATTTGTCATTTTCTACAGAAGACAAAACAAAGGGGTTGAGTACTTGGTAGAGGCTGCAGCTGCTGAAGCCGAAGCTATTACTGCTACATTAGCTGCCGCTAAAGCCCGACAAGTTAATGGAGAAATCGAGCTGCCAGATAGAGATCGAGGGGCAGAGGCAACCCCTAGTGGTCATATAGCTCTGCCTGATTTGGCTTCATCAAATAGCTCTGCTCCAGCTGGAGTTAGGCTTCATCATCGTGCTGTGTGTATCAGGATAACGAATCTATAACTTTCATCTCAAAATCGTAGTCTGGTTGTAAGTAAATAAACATGTTTCATCACATTCCATCAACATCTTTGCAGGTTGTTATAGCTGCCGAGACTGGTGGAGCTTTAGGTGGCATGGTCAGACAGCTTTCTATCGATCAGTTTGAAAACGAAGGCCGACGAGTCAGTTATGGAACCCCAGAAAATGCCACAGCAGCAAGGAAACTTTTTGATCGACAAATGTCTATTAACAGTGTACCCAAAAAGGTACTTGTCTTCCTTCCCTACAATGCATTAAATTGTATAACTAACCATTATCCAGGGAATTTATTCCTGGAACGCAATGAAGGACTATCAATAATGAGTTGTTAAGTTAATTGCAAATGAACATTTAGTTAGGTGGAATTGCCTGGAGATACATGCTTCCCCATTTTATCTTGTATTATTTTAACTTAGATGGCATTGGAGGCTAACCAATCTGTGACACCGGGATGAAGTCAGATACATTTTTGGTTGGCATTTCTTCCTTTAGAAATGTGTAAGCCTGAGAAGTACATCAAAGCATTATATTTTTCCTTGTTCTAAGATTTAGTTGTTTTTTATTTTGTTTCTGGAGTTTTTGTGACTGTAGAATTGCAAGTTTGAGGTGCTGCTATTTTTTTTCCCATTAAATTCTCTACTCATTGTAAAATAGTTTTTTGAACTTCTAGTCTCATGTGATCTCTGTTCCCCTCTACCAGGTGATTGCTCATCTTCTGAAACCTCGTGGCTGGAAGCCTCCAGTTCGTAGGCAGTTTTTCTTGGATAGCGATGAGATAGCAGATCTTTGTGATAGTGCTGAGAGAATATTTGCTAGTGAACCTACTGTTCTACAGCTGAAGGCTCCTATTAAAATATTTGGAGATTTGCACGGGCAATTTGGGGATCTTATGCGTCTTTTTGACGAGTATGGATCTCCTTCAACTGCTGGAGATATAGCGTAAGTTTTCATCTTACTGCACATCTACATGCTTTAGGATCTTGGTACCAAATTCTTATATGTGAGATAATGTTTCATTTATCACGTTAGCTATGACACATCCCTAATACCAAATTCTTATGTGAGATAATGTTTCATTTATCACGTTAGCTATGACACATCCCTATGTCTTTCTTTTTTTCCTCAGTACTTCATAAAAAATACCATTTGGAATGCAATTAGTAGATGCTATCAAAAAAATATTTGATTTCAACGTTCTTTGCATGTTATATCAAATTGGCTAACCATTCTCATTGTTTAGATTAGTATTTGCAACTCTTTTGAAGCTTGTAGTTATTATGCCTTGATTCCATTCTTCTGGTTCACTGTAGAAGCATGTACTATCTTTTTATTGAAGCGAGGTTCTGAGTCCTGATGAGAAATCATAAATGTTCAAGATCTTTTTTCCCCTTCCGGAACTTTCTTGTCATATTTAATCCTGTTCTCAAAGCACCTTATGGATCATGAGTATTTATAATCTTTGGATCATAAATACAAGAATGTTATTCTGTATGCGATATATAAGCATCACAACCTTATTTATGGATGTTTGCTGTAAGTAAATTTTGAGAAGTTGCATCGACAATAACGTCAAATACCACATCAAAAACTATTTGGATTCATTGCTTCCTGATTGTGGACGCTTTGCAAAAGTTGACTTCATATTTTTCCTTATATCTAAATCTAGTCTCTTTCACCTTCATACTCTTCACCTAGAAGTTCTTCCTCTGAATTCGAATTTTTCAGTGTTCTTGCTTTCTTTTAATACCTTTTTAGCCAACAGAAAGTGGTCCACTTGAAATTTATAGATCTGTTACATTTCATTTGCTTCTCAGATAGCTATGCTAAATTAACATCTCTATCATTTCACTCCTTAGCCTGCCATTTTTCTAATTTGCAATGGATTTCAAATGGAGGCGACTCAAAGTAGTGCTGCTTAGAAAATAGTTTTTGGTTTTGGTTCTAGGACATGAAAAGCTTGTAGGTCAAGTATTCAACATCATAAATACCATTGATTAAAAGAGAGATGCCTTTATATTCATTTGGCATACTTTGGAATGATTACTGGTGTTGCTTCATCAATTCTAGTAGCAACGTGTTAACCCATGGATGAGAAGTTTAATCTGGTTGCATGTATAGTCTGCAGTGGATAGCAACTTATTAACTGGGGGTTAGAAGATGTGACCTTAATGGATAGGATGAAGTTGTCTGAGGAAATAGGAATAGAATTTTCCCAGTGAAAACTTTTTATGTGCTTTATATAGATACTGCAATCCTTCCCTTAGCAAGCTGTGTGGCGGTTGGGCACCTACAATGCATCTTTTGTTTAGACAGCTGGTCTAACTGGTTTTTGACTACTGACCAATAAGAAGAAAATAATGGTTAATTGTTTTTTAATGTGCAAAAAGGATGAGTCGGTTGCTGCACCATTTCATATGCTCGTGTGACTTACAGCCAGTATCTTTGTTCTTGTTCTGGGTTTTATAGCACATGCCTTCTTCGGTGAAGACTCCTTGATACGTGGAATATGTATAGATCGATGTAGTTGCTCTGTCTGGTTGGGTGAGGGTGCATGATATGTGAAATCTTCAAAGAAATTGATCATATTAAGGGTGTGCTCTTACCTTAGTTTGCCTGCTTTGAGGTTGAGTATTTGTTTTAATATCTATGCATTTTTTAGTCTTTCTTCTAGTTTTGTGTTGCCTACTTGGTTTTCCCCCCATTTAAAATGCAATTCTGGAAAGGATCTGTTTACTTTTCTATAATGTTTAAAATTGTCAATAAATTTTTAGTCCATTTCACACTACTAATATTGAATGGGTGAAAATTGTGTTCTCCCTCGAATAAGATGTATCGATTCATCCGTCTGCCTGGTGTACCATGATTGTATGTGAAAAGCACTAACTAAATTGTTGTTTATATTGAGTTTGATTCTGTTATTTCATTGATTGTCAAAGTTTGTTCACTTTTTTTGATGCTAATTTTATAGAAATAACTATCAGATATATAGATTATCTCTTCTTGGGAGATTATGTTGATCGCGGCCAACACAGCTTGGAAACCATAACTCTTCTCCTAGCTTTGAAGGTTCTTGGCCTGTCTATCACTATTACCATTGCAATTATCGTTTCTTATTCCCTTCCTTTATAATGAACTGATCTAATGTGTTTTCATGAAAATAAATGATTACTCAGGTTGGGCATCCCCATCAAATACATTTAATTCGTGGAAATCATGAAGCTGCAGATATCAATGCACTTTTTGGCTTTCGAATTGAGTGCATTGAACGCATGGTAAAATATTGTAGGATTTGCATAATTTTCTCTCATTTCTGAATAAAGTTGATCTTAAGACGGTGTATGGAACAGGGTGAGAGAGATGGAATCTGGGCATGGCAGCGGATAAACAGATTGTTCAACTGGCTTCCTCTGGCAGCATTAATTGAGAAAAAAATTATTTGTATGCATGGTGGTATTGGAAGATCAATGAACCATGTGGAACAAATTGAGAATATTCAGCGTCCAATTTCAATGGAAGCAGGATCAATTGTCCTTATGGATTTGTTGTGGTTAGTGCATGTCTGTCCTTGCTATGTTTTTGTCACTATTCTTCTAATTTTCCTTAATTCTAGTATTACAAGTAAATAATTCCTTGTAGGTCTGATCCCACGGAAAATGACAGTGTGGAAGGATTACGACCAAATGCAAGAGGTCCTGGATTAGTTACCTTTGGGGTAGGGGTTTTCTCTTTACATGTTTCTTACGAACTTTCTTCAATTTTGATTAAAGAAACACTTTTGGATTTAGAATGGCTTGTGATTTAGAGCCAGCCATATGTTTTAAAAGAGTCCCATGTGATAAACATTTAGAAATGGGCATTTTCTTCACCCACATAGATTTCCTCCTTTATTGCATGGGGCATAGTTCTTTTCACAAGGATTTTAAGGTTTTTTCTGGTTTGAGCCTAACTATTCAACAGTCTTTTAGTGCTTGACATGGTTATTAAAAAATGGAAAAGAAATACCATAGAGGTAGAGTCCATAATATACTATGGTTGAACCTACGCAGTCAAATGCAAGTTACTTCCAGTGATAAAGTTGAATATAGAATATTGATGAAATAGCCACTTGATGTGGGATAACGTTTGCAGCTGCATTAAGAATCGAGCAAATGAGTTACTAGGGAAGTGTAAAGATACGAAGGCCCACTTAATACATAAATGCATTGGTGGAACTAGAAGGTTTAGATAGTGATTTTGGCAAAAAAAGGAATGTTATAGAAACTTAATTAAATATATACTGTGAAGGCTTTTGTAAAATGTAGGCTAGCAAAAAGGAATGTTTAAGTTTAGAGTCCTATGTAGATGCCTGTGAGAAGTATTATTGGAACCAAAGATGGAGAAAAAGCTGAGCAAAGGGGAAAAAAGTGATCTAAACCAAGTTAAAAGGATTATTCAACTTGTACATTTAGGTGTACAACCTCGGTGACATAATGCACAAGTGACATTCTTTGATGAATAATGCTAGTGGTACATCAAAAGATATACTTAAGGGGTTACACCCCCCCTCACATGGGGTGGGACCACTTGCATAAAATATTTTTTTATTTAATTGGGTCGAGGGGGGTGTAACCCCTTAGGTACACCCCTATGTACCACTAGCAAAACCCTGCTCTCATTGGCTGTTGGAATACCTATCTCATCTGGACACTGAGACAATGAATCTATCTAGACCAATAGATTTCTTCTCTATGAAGCTCATATCTTTCTAGTACATTTACCATTTATATCTTCAATAGAATTTACAAACTCAAACCCATGTGATGCCTTCTATTCAAAATAGTTCTTCTGTCACTGAGGGTGTAACGAGCCTCTCACCGGAGCCATTATCTTACGTACTGTCCGCTCCGGGGTGGGCTTCTGCTCACTTATCCCCTCACGGTTTTCTGACGCGTCCCCCAGGATTCGAACCCAAGACCTCCTTCATATGAGAGATTTAAGTTGAATCCTGATACCAATAGGAAAGAGAACGCGTTTTCGAAAATAGGAAAGAGAACGCGTTTTCACTGTTTTGGAAAACTGAAAACAGAAAACGACCTGAAAACGGCAAAGAGAACAGGGCCACATAATTTCAAAACTCATTTTNTGTCATTTTGAAAACATCCAAAACGTGTTTTGAAAATTTTGGTTTGATTATAACTGAAAATACTCAAAATGATTTGTCGTTTTGGACTTTCTTCGTAAATTTTTAACTTGTTTTCAAAAACGCGTTTTCGAAAATAGGAAAGAGAACGCGTTTTCACTGTTTTAGAAAATCGAAAACGGCAAAGAGAACATGCCTTAAGATTTACAGATGTTTCGTGTTAATTTAGAAGTGCAAGCAAAGTATTCCATGGATGCTATAGAGAAGGATTTTTTATATATGTATATGTATATATATTAATGTTCTTAATGATATGTATCATATTGGATGCTGGTTTACAGTAGGAGAATTTATTTGGTTTCCTTATTAGTTGTGGCTCATATAAGTTTCTGTTTTGCAGCCTGATCGTGTAATGGAATTTTGTAATAACAATGATCTTCAATTGATTGTTCGAGCACATGAATGTGTGATGGATGGATTTGAAAGATTTGCTCAGGGTCATTTAATTACTCTCTTTTCAGCCACAAATTACTGCGGTGTGCTCCTGAATGATTAAATAATTAGTTATTGCTTGACTAATTACGCTCATAGATCAGCCATTCAATTTTTTATTTTTTTTCCGTGGGACTTGTTCTCTTAAGTTTCAATTATAATGTTCTTCTCCAGGTACTGCAAATAATGCTGGTGCTATATTGGTTTTGGGTAGAGATTTAGTGGTGGTTCCAAAACTTATTCATCCGTTGCCACCTGCAATTTCATCTCCGGAAACCTCTCCCGATCACCATACAGAAGCTACGTGGATGCAGGTGCTACTGTATCTTGAACTTTCGGTTTTGTGATGTGTTACTTTTCCATTCAGTTTCTTCTCATCTCGTGCTGAGATAATTTTACTTGTGCTCTCAACTAGGAGCTTAATGCTAACAGACCACCAACGCCAACTAGAGGGCGTCCACAAGTTACTAGTGACCAAGGTTCTGTAGCTTGGATCTAGATCCCCAATTTCCAGTGATTTCCTGGTTTTCCTATACGTCCACAAGTTACCAGTGCTCTCTGGTTTTCCAATACGTCTTCAAGCCCTATGCCAAGATCCCCAATTTCCAGTGATTTGTACATAGCATGATGCAATGTGACGATTCCTGGAACATCCGTATCCACTTGGGACTGGCGGTGGACTTGAAAAGGCTTTGGACTCCAGTATCTTTCATACACTTCAAAGGTTGGCAGAAGATGAAGAGACAAGTTTGCCAAGGCAAGTTGTCGGACTTCTTTTCAGCTGTTCATAGTTTCCAAAAAGTTATTCCTAAATGAAGCTCAAACAAGTGGAAGTTACAGCATGTCATTTCTTCCTTCGGTAGGAAGATTATGTATTTCTTGTTAGTCCTATATTCTTTTGTTCCACGGGTAATTTTTTTCCTGCTTTTGATGTACCCCCAAGTCCCCAAAATACGTGATTGGTGAGAGATATTCGGTGTTAAGATCTTGTTCATTCATGTATAATAGAGATTAGAGGGTGTTGCTTTGTGTAATTTGTGTTCTTACTCTACAATGTGTCCTTCGAGTGAAAAAAAAAAAGTAGCTATTTTTTTTCTTTAGCAGTGGCTGCTATGCCATTAGGTTTTCATGGTTTCTTTGCAAATTGTATGTATCCTGGTTATCGAATAGATGGACATATCCTTTAACCAATGGCGCTTTGCACTTTAATCAAACCTTTTATGCGGTAAAGTTTTTAAACTTTCAATTTATGACAAAAAGAATTCCTTCCTTTTTCAGCTGGTTTGTAATATATACAATTAACTGTGGGCCTGAATGCTAACTAAAATGTGATTGAAAATCAATTTTGAAAAAATAAGTTTCGATGTTGGAAATAAATCCCACATCATCTGTGGACAATATCTTGGGCCAGCTTATAAACAATGTGACAAACTTCTCTTGTAGAACCGATTTTGTGAGATGAGTTAGGCCCATAAATTTCTACATGATATCAGAGCATACCACAAGATTGATGTGAGCTCACACTATTTACCCCGTGACAAGGACCAGAAAAAATTACTGGCATGCACGTGAGGGAGGGTGTTGTAAATAAATCCCACATCGCCTGTGGACAATATCTTGGACCAGCTTATAAACAATGTGGCAAACCTCTCTTGCAGAACTGATTTTGTGAGATGAGTTGGCCCATAAATTTCTACATGGTATCAGAGCCCCGTGGAATTAGTCGAGGTGCCCGCAAACTGGCCCGGACATCCACGGTTATCAAAAAAATATATATATATATAGGATTCAAGGACATAATTGAATGAAAACTCCGTCGCTACATAAAATTGGGGCTTCCATCTATTTACGTAAGGGAAATTGCAGTATACTAACAGGTTTTAACAGTTTGAATAATACTAACCAGCATATTTTCATTGACAAATGACAATTACTTGAACTGTAAAATTTAAATATTTTTATTATAATATTAATTAAGAGATTAAAGAAGCATTTTAATAAAAATGCCTTTAATCAAGGAACCAATACTGTCTATTGTCTAATCGTATTAGTCGAACTATTATCAAGGCAAAACTATTTTATAGCTACCTTTACAATATTCAATATATATAAGGTGATATAAAAGCAGCTATTACACTAGGAATTTTACATCTCCGATTATGTCACTAGATTAAAATGCATGTCCAAACAGGGCCATGTTGAATGGAATAGCACAACAATTCACCGTGGCTTAAATTTGATATAATTGTAAGCAAAGCCTCCTCAAGCAATACCATAAATTGGTTAATGATCAATAAGCAAGCATCCGAGCTAATCAGCCTCGTTTCACAGGTCTTTGAACGTAGGATTTGTTAGGATCTTCCGTCTTGAGCTTTGGAGGGCGAATCTCTCCTTTCTTGACCTGCACAAGTACGAAATAGAAATTGGGAAAACGTAATAATAATCCTTCCACAAGTACCCTAAATGAAAGCAGCAGTGTAGTCTCACCTTCTTTCCACCTTTCATAAAGTCTCTCCAACTGGAAACCTGATGTAAAATAGAGATGATCAACTATAGGAATGAAGCTCATTTCATGGAATTTAAAGATACTATTCCGAATAAATGAACCACAATCTACAATGTAGTCCAGAGTCTGCAAAGAAAGGCAGATGTCCATGCAAATATCAAGAGAAATACTACCTGAGGACAAAGTGTCATGGATGAGACGATTTTGTTTAATTTTTGACCAACATAGTAATGTCCAAGTTACTTAGCCAGGCATAACAAACGTATCAAGTTGGGGAAGGAAGGAAGGAGAAATGTTTATCCACTAAAGAAAGAAATGTCCAGATTTTTTGCATCTAGGATGGAAAAACAGAATGGGCAGCATTATTTTTTAAGGTTTGATGACACAGTGGTCAACTTTTATTTTCATTTATCGAGAAAGAAAGAATGAATACTGAGGAGAAGATAGAGAATCATCAACAGTTAACACGGATATATTGATAGTTCCATTATCAACGATATTGTGAGCAATACTCATGGGTTAACACCAGCAACCAACAATTGCAGTACATATTTCCATTCGTTTAACTTTCAGATTCTTCCATCTTTCTTCCGGACCAACCATGAACCACCCACCATACAAATTTCTTGCACAATCAAACTACATGGTTTCAACATGAGAACATGCCTACTTGCAATTTTCAAATATTCACATGTACAAATGGCATATGGAATATAAACAAGCAGCCTTGTCAACAAAATCGCGTCGCAACATGATGCATGCTGAATAAGAATACAACCTTGTAGACCCAGGGCCAACAGTACCAAATCAAATAGCATGCTAGAACAAGATATAAAATGGATAATTTCATAACACTATGTTGTATGAAACTATATCATTTAGAATACAAGCTGGCAGTCCAACAATTCTTAATCATATTGCATGCTCAAACAAGCTATAACATGGACAATTCCATAAAAATTACGTATGTATGAAACTAACCCTCTGTTCTCTGGTTCCTTCCCATTGCTCCTCGTGTTCACGCTTTCTTTTCCACATCTCTTTAGTTTCTTCCTCATCTTTCTTTAATCTACCTTCCTCCTCTGATATCTACGAAATTCAAAAATGGAATGCTGATATAGAAAGTAATCATCAAAGGTAGAACAAGTGCAGTGGTGCTCATACCCTCATCTGCATTTTCCTTCTCCTCCATTCTTGATCTGTTAACAGTTCACGAACTTTTAATTTTAGTTTCTGCTGGAATTCCTCTGACCGTTCATATTCTTGCTCGTATTTTCCCTGTATCGTGTTTTATTGAAAAAAAAGTCAATGAGTTGTTTGTCATCCAATCAGTCATCTTATTATAGTTATAAATTTCAATAAAAAAATGGGTAAAGATGCACTCTTTCTATTTTTCTTTTCTTTCTTGCTGATCAGCAATAACGTTAGATATTGTAATGCAGGGGGAAAGGATGAAGAATACACACATTAAGGGCAAAAAACCAGATAGCCTATGGAAGCTGTACATTATCCCTTCAGAACTTTGGACAGTAAAAAATACTGAAGAAAGTAATGTTGGTGACAATCAATTACCTCATCCACTAACGACTTCAATTTATTAGCAGTATCTTTTTTCAGCAGCTTTTTCCTCTTTGCTCTAAGCTCTTCTGCACTCCATAATTAGAACAGTGAGCCTTCTTCAAGATTAGTCATTTATTAGGGAATAAGTAAGAGCAAAATAAAAGAAAAGACTACACAGCTCCCTAAAAATTAAAGATATAACACTGCACATGGAAAAAGAACATCAACACCAAATGAAAAGGAGAAAAAAAATGTAAGGGTAAGAAGAGTGAAAGAGAAAGAACACGCCACAACTTTTAAAGCATCACGGAAAAATAAAAAATTTGAAAATTTCAAATTCTTAATGGAAAAAAAATGGGTGTTTTATGTTCAATTAGAAAGGACACAAAGATAATTAGAAGGGAGTGGAAAGCAGGACAACATAACAAAGGAGAAAGTTGGTAACTGGGATTGTCATTTGTTATGAGGAACTGAACTATACCAAGGCCAGAGAGCACCATTAAGTTAACAAAAGATAAAAGATAAAACTGAATCTTAAATTGTGAGAACGGGAAAAGATAGCTTCTTAGAACAAATCTATACTTCTCAATATAAGACTTTTGAACTTTTGGGCATGGATCGACTTGTATGGTTGGCATATTAAGGTCTTGTTTGAGCCCCATTTTTTTTTTCAAAAAACGCATTTTGTAATAGCGTTATGATGGAGTGTGTGTGGTTAAAAAATAAGGAAAAGTTTTGGGTTTGCGTATAATATTATTTTATTGAAAAATGTGTGGTTGAAATAGAATCAACTCATTGTTCAAAAATACATTTTGATGGAAAAATGGGGAAGGCTAAGTTTCTCAACATAATATTTTCTGAAATAATGGATTTGCTGCATTTGCATTTTACACAGGGTGTACCATTGCTGGCACTAGATCAATCAAACATTACTACTGACAAACAAACAAATCATTCATGTTTATATACTATAAGATGAAGCGAAAAGATTACGTTGCTGAACTGAGAATATAAGCCCTAAAGCAGTGATAGTTTTTAACACAAAAAGAAGTTTTTAACGGAATAAAATAAGGGCAGCGCAAACATGGAGTCCTTAACAAAAAATAAGATAGCACAAACCTTTTGCTGCATTAACTTGGTTCAAAAGATATTCCCTCTCTGCTGGATCATGTAATATTTGTTGAGCTTTTGCTAATGCTGTTAATAAACAAAGACAATGTCAGCTAAAAATTAAAAGAATGGACCAGAAATACTAAACTGATATGATGTCCAGTTGGCACTAATCTTGGAGACTATTGTCACGAAAGCAGTAAAAGTTTATAATTACTGATAAAAATATACCAGCTCCACTCAAATTCACATATTTTGATTCACTGCTGTATCTATTATAGGGACTAGCACTTTCGCCGAAATGCTAACTATTTTCACCTCCTCAAAGAGCAGTTTATCCATAGAACTAGTACTTAAACAAACTTTAAAACGCATATCCTAACTACAACAGTAACACCACACCTGAAATATTGAACCTTCCGGATTGTGCACTATATACTGTAAACTAGACTAAAGAAAGTCTCAAATAATAAACAGCCTAAAATCACAGAATTGGACCAATGGATTGGTTAAAATGGGATAAGAAGTGGGAAATAAAAAGCTATCTGGTTCTCCCGAAAAGTCTACTTCTACTCCTATTTCTGAAAGACAATGCTCTCTAACTGGAAAAGTTTATATAGAGTAGCAGTCTTTCTCTGCACATACATGCTATAGAAACAAAGTCATATCCAGATTTATGTAACGATTACAGAGGTCAAAAAGAGCAGACTAAATCCATAATCACATACTTCCTACCAAAGCAAGAAGAGACTTATTTACCAGAAAATGCCTCCTTTGCTTGTGGATGTTTGCATTTATCAGGGTGAACTAGCAAAGATAACTGCAAGAAGGCAAATTAATGTAAAACACGTTTCACGAATATTCAGAGATACGAATGGTCAACAGAAATGGTCATTTGATATGATGAAAGAGATCACCTTACGATATTGCCTTTTCACTTCATCTATAGATGAATCAAATGGTAGGTTAAGATATTCAAATGCATTCAACTTGAAGCATGAAAGGATCCTACAGCAACCCAAAAGTGACAGATATGTTGGCTGAAGATGTAGAAATCAGAAATAAAGGCGGTATGTGTGTGTGTGTATGTCAGTGTCTGTCTATTTAAGTACACATGTACTGAACATGTTGAAATGACAAATTGAAAGGATCAAGAACAGTAAATGTAAAAGAGAATTCTAGAAAGATACAAACAGCAAACTCCATTTAAGATATTTAATATCCAAAAAATCAATCCTTAGCCGAGACACTTTTATTTTGGGTTTAAATTAGTATTCTTTATATTGTCAGTCCAATGACATTCTAGCAAATTTTATAGATTTATAGTATTAATCTTGGTGTAAGATCTGGTATCAGTTCAGTAGTCTGTTCAACTAATTTTGTTTGAAGGAGTTTACGTCTTGACAGGGATAGAGAAGTTGTGGGTCTATACACATAAGTGTACTTTTCTTTAATTAATTAGACATTTAACTGTTGATAGTTTACTAAGCTTTTGAAGCCTTTCTCGTGATTATGGGACACACTCAAACCCATAATGTGATACCATGGGGATCTAGGTGAGATGCTTAGTTATTCTCCTACTTTCTTTAATTAATCCAACATTCTTCTGAGGCAGGTGAGATCCTTCATTGAGTCAGGTCTGTTTGAAAATAACTTTCCAAAACTCATGTCTAGGCATGCAAGATCAGAAAATATAAACCACCATAAGGCAAATTGCCACTACACTTGCACTAAATTTTAAAAATTTCAAGATCAAAATTTTAGATTCATCAATCAAACCAAACAACACTTCTCGAACGATATGGATATCACTCTTGTATTCGAAAAGTAGACCTTAACCATAGCTCCATTCATTCCACTATAAATATGAAAATATCTTGTCCGTTTCATATAGTTTTGGAAATTCATAAACCGAGGAACAAAACACAACCCTAATTGACACCAATTAAAATAATTTTTTCCACCATAAATCAATATCGAAGAAAAACAAAAAAAAACCTGTTGACTTCGTTGTCGCGCTCAACCTCGCTTACTTCGGCGAAGAATTGCTTTAGCAGTAAATCATCTGCAGCGGTGGAAGTTGCTCCATTGTTGTCTCCCATCGGGCATCAATTTGAGAAATGTTAGCTTTCTTTCCCAAAATAAACTTGAAATCTGTATTATTCAGATTTGGGCCTTACAATTTGGGGCTCGTGGGCCAAATTTAACATTGTGCTAATTTCAGAAA